GGACATTGGCAAGAAGAGAAGACGGGTCAGAATCAAGACATCGATCAATAGTTTGCGCGAGATGGCCCTCGATTGCCCCTATCCTCACAGAAACAGGCACGTTGCTATGAAACGCCTGGAACCGTGGCCGGGTCAGAGATATGGGCGATTGACGAAGCAGATCGCCATTGCACGTGTGGGGCGCAAAGGGACACGCTCTCACCAGACACATGCACCTCCAAACCAACAAAAACAGAGGCATCTTTAATTTTCAACGACCAGGCTTTGACGCGCTGTTTCCTCCGAGCCCTGGTCAGAACAGCATCTGTGTACATGCTCTCCACGTGATGAACGAATCGCTTCGATAGAGCGTCGACTTCCAGGAACACAGAACCGCTACTGGAAGACTTGGAGACCTCCCGTCTCTTTGGAGGAGGGCCCAATTCATAGTCGACCGCACATTTGGGAGGGAGCCAAAAACAATGAATACCATAAATATCATCGGCCCACCGGAGTCTCAGAACAGACACGTGATGCACAAAATGCAAATCGATACTTTTCGGGAGCCGTGCGCTGTCACACTCAAGAAAACAACAAACAAGATTACAGACGCAAAGGCCATGGGGGCATCCTTGGGGCATCCCTTTTTTAGGAGCCACAAGCGCATTACCGAAAGAGAGGAAACCATGAGCAAGATGAAAATTCACAAGCCAAGGGATGTCGGAAACATGTAAGATGTATTTAATCCGCAGCCAAGGTGCGCGAATTGCGCGACCGAGCGTCGTCAACACCAGGCTTAGCCAGGTTCCGCAAATGACCGTTAAACGTTCGGGAAAAGCACATAGGAGCACCACCTTGCGGAACCGGTTTGTGGCTGAACCGGGGAACCTGGATATACATTTTGCGAGTGCCGGCAACATCTTCCCACCTACTCATCAACCAATCAAGAGCACGGTTAATCAATGCCCAAATGACGTTGTTGAAGAAACCGTCAATGTCACGCTTGAAAGGCATGAACACGGGAATGACGCCCCTCCGCCGATTTTCAGCAACATAAAGATTGAATGTATGAAAACAACCAGACTTTCTGGTTCGACAACACACTGATCGAATCAGGGTAAATAAACCGGACCATGAAGTTGAGAGCACGGCACAACAGAGAGAACAGAGGCTTCAAACAATGAGACCAATACGAACCAACCGGGCGGCTCTTACGAACAAGGTCAGAATGTTTGGGCCACGCGTCAATCATGCCAAAAACATGTCTTCCCGGAGAAGGGCAAACAACGCCAGGGTATCTCTAACGCTCCTGGGCCTCGCGGAAGCGATTATGCAAAGCGTTCCACCCCATGAAAGAATGCACGGGACGATTGCTACTGAACGCGCAAGCTCTAGCCCGGTTCTGCCACCCACGAGGACACGATATAGCAACGGAAGAAGAACATTAATCAATCGGCGTGATGACGGCACGCGAAAACAACAATTTCTTCCAAGCCCGAACGTCATGCTCAAGGACCCCTCGCTGCCGAAAATTACCGGCGTTGTGGTACAACTCACGAAAATACGCGTGGGCATCAGAAGCGTTCCATTGCACGTGGACGCCGGCCTTGCCAAGACGGCGAGCAAGTGCCTCCATGTTGTCATCAACGCACTTCATCACGTGCCCTTTTGACCACACGCACAGGCCGTCATAGTGAAAGAGACGCGGGATGGCACCATTAAGACGACAATTCTCAGCTCTCACACACAAGTGACCGTCACCTGGCAAAGGAACGCCCAAGCATGAACTCAAGTCACTGCAAGTGCACGAAAAACCATAGGACTGCAACCGTTTTCCCCGCCATTTGGAGTTCACAAGAACGTCCATGGGAGAAGGCGAGAAAAGAGGACGAACGTGCACGGCAACAGCATGACCACGAGGGGTACAAGGAGCACACATGTTACGAAACGACCTCATGATGACGTCATGCACGCGACAACCAGGAAGATGAGGCAATTCAACAGCAAAATTGGTGTGATGCGTGCTTTTCGTGTCCCCCAAGACCTGAAATATCCTCTGGCGGGCAACAAACAAGTTAGAACCGACGAGATTCTTCTCAACGCGATCAACAAACATGTTAACGAGCCCTGGCCGACGATCAACAAACGACTGCAGAAATTTCAAGCTGTTGTTGCCCTTGCGTCGCAGTTCCCCCAGACGACACACTAAAACGGACAACTTGAATTGAAGCAAATTAGCCGTAGACGTATCATCCACAGCAGGGGCATCACCGGAAGAGTAAATATGGACGTGGGTGTAAGAAGGCACGGGGCGCCGACTGTAAGAAACTTATTTCGACATTTAGACCCTTCTCCCCGAATGGCAACAAATGTATGGCACTGCTGACGACATCCTTGTTTCACATACTTGTGAACGAAGGAGGTATTCAGCCGGGCATGCAATGCGCTCACAAACTGTTTCTCCATGAACCTTAACTCCACATCCGAGCTGGAATACAAATTCACAAGAGGCAGCTGGATGAAGGAGCCAACGCCGAGAGACCGCATTTTGTAATACGCAGGGATCTGGAAATCTTTCCGGCACGAGAAGAGAGCATAATGGTGTTCATTAGTACGTTCAAGAAAAGACTTGCTAGATTTCCCCACATACATGAAATTGTGACTCATAGAGAGCAAAACATCAATCATGGTACACGAAGCATGGGAAACAACCCGTTCACACTGAACAGACGAGCACGCATGATGAAGCGTGTTCAACATTTTCTGATGCGACCGGAACTTCGACACTCCCATCCACCTCACAGCAACAATGGCTCTAACGTGGTTCAGAGCGTGAACAGCATATGACGACCAAGCTTTATCATGCGACCTGTTGCTATGCTTAAAATAACGATGCTCAAACAAAACATGGAGCAGGGAGGAGGAGATGCGCATGACATGTTGAAACGCCTTGCACTTCACATGAGAATCCCTCTCGCCAGCCTCAATGTTCTGCATAAGCACGCACACGGAACGAACAGCAGCAACAAGAGCACGCTTGTCACAACTAGGATGGGCAATGGCACTCGTCACGTCACCCGCCACGTTATCGCCAGCTTCGTCGCGGCATTCGCACAACCACTTCCGGACGGAGAAACGACCGCAGCAGCAACGCAGGGAAGGAGAGGAAAGACAAGCACAGTTGTTAGCTTGGAGATCCAGACGCTCGAAATGCGGCAAAATGAATGCACTGTTGGAAGCACTGAGTTGCCAGCATTGCCGGGCAACTCGGAACAGCCATCCTGTCGATGATCAGTCAGCGCGGGACGCACAGATCCTATCCCTCTCAGTCAAAGCAGCAGGCAAATCATCCTGGTTCCGGCGCATGCCCTTCTTAGCGCGAGGGTTGGGCGTACCAATATCGAAATGAACCGACGTGCCCGGGAAGTCTAGCTTGCTAATCTCATCGTAGGAAAGTTTTGCTTCATATCCGTCTTCCCAAGGGATTGAAAAGACTGCATCCGGATTCATGGTCAGACCAACAACCCTGCCTTTACGATCAAGGTCATTGTCGCGCACATCAAGGCCGATCAAATCTTTCGGAAGCGGCTGCCGCACCGGCTCTGGCTCCCAGACGCGATTGGTGCTGAAGTCTGACTCGAACCAATTCCTGCGGACAGGAGGCTGGGCACCTGAAGCAGAAGACGACGACGCATGGCGGCGATCACGCCGGACAGACTCTTCTGTGTGTTTGCGGTCCAGGAAAGAGGCATCAGACTCGCCGACCGGGAGGTTGAGCTTCTGGTGGACAGCCTTCACACTTGTGATAAAGGGATCCCAATCTTCATCAGATGCAGCCATAAGGATAAGGCATGCAATCTCCTCTGCCCTGTCCAAAGTCTTGTTCCAATCTTCGCTGGCTTTGGTGAAGACGGGCACTACCTTCTCTTTCTTCATGAGGTCCTTCATGCCAACGTTGTTGCTAGCAATGGCCAAGACCTCAAATTTAGATGGGTCATCCTGGTGAAGAGGCAAGAACCGACCATGACCATCCTCACAAACATCCCTCAGGTCACGGCCTGGCCCTCGACGATGCGCATCGCTCCAGGTCTGGGTACTGGCGGCGCTGTCGGAGCTGACATTGGCGGAAGAGAATAAGTTGGCACCTGCATGCCGCGACCGAAACCTCCCTGGTATGCCGGAGGACGCGGAGTAAGCGGATTTTGCGAATCCACGATGAGAGATTGGCAAGTACAGTATGCAGAAACATAGAGGAATGCAGGAACAAATGCACGCATGTAGTATGGCGTGTGCACTGGGGATTGGGATTAGGAGCTGGCACGACCAGATCACTAGCCCGAAACAACTCGATGGATGCAACTTCCTTGAGTACGCGGTAGGGGTTGTTATCCTTGGCGGATTGGGCGGAGGGTGGCATAATATGGCAGAGTCTAATAGGGGGGCATTTCTACGGGGGCTGGGGGAAGGGAGAGTGGTTGCTCCTTGCTGGGATGGGCTGTGCGGCGCAAAGAGAGGAGATTGCTTGGGTGCCGTCGTTGCCGTCGCCTTCGTCGTGCAAACATTGCCATTCGTCGGCCTTCCTGCGGGCATTATTTGGGAGAGACGGTAAGGGGCAGGCCAGGGACATTCTCAGCGAGGTTTTTGTTTGCTATCTTTTTGTCTCTCTCTCTCTCTCTCTCTCTCGCTCTCTTTCTCTCTCTCTCTCTCTCTCTCTTTTTTTGTTCTCTCTCTCTCTCTCTCCACCCACACACACATCACTAGAATGCAAAATGGGCGGGAGTTGTGAGGGGGGGTAGGGGACAGCCTTGACGCGACGCCCAGCTTGCAAACTGCCAGAAATGTCAGGGTGGCCGAGGGAGAAGACGGGGAGGAGATCCTTGGATGCCCGAAAATGCCAAGCACGTCCAAACTTCTGAGTCTTGGACCCTCGAAAGGGGCAGGGTAAGGGGGACGGGCAGATGGGCGACGGGATGGTCGCTGCCAGGGTCAATGCGATAGCCCCAGTGCTTGGCTCCCGAGAGGTTGGCGAGCCCGTGTCCGCAGTGGGCGGGAAGTACTCGGGCGCCGCCGACGAGGTCCACTCATCCCTCCTCTTTTCACCTCCCGACAGTGAAGGCGTTGAAATAAGGACCGCTTTGAGCTCAGGAAGGGCTCTGGTTTTCAAACCGTTCCTTAGACCTAGGTTGGGGGACCCATTCATAGCCGAGGCTCGCCGTGGCCAGAAAACCCCTTCCAGTCCTTTTTCAGCGTTCTTTATGGTAGGTAGCACGATGGCTGTATCCTTATGTTAGCATGATGGCTCTTGATGAAGAGGGAAGCAGAAGGATAAGGATACTGTCGGGGAGGGGGAGTAGGAAACTTCTTCCTCATTCTCCTCCCCCCTCCCTGATCTCATCCCTCTACTTGTCTCTCCCCCTCCTCCTCCTCCTCTTCTTCTTCCTTGGAGAGGTCGCGGGCCCGCCTGGACGGGACCGCTCGGGCGGCACGACATGGCGAGCCTTGGGGCAAATGCTCGGGAACCGGACGCAGGACCATGCCGAGAGCCTTTTGCAAAGGGGCGAGGAGGATGTTTTGAAGAGAAGCCAGGTGGGTTGGGCCACGCGGATCTTGGCCAACTCATTTGGCTCAAACGCGTATCTTTCGGACACGTTGATTGAAACTCACCTGAGTGTTCGCGATCTTGAAAAACAGCTTCGCGTTGAATTGCGCGGTAGCGAAGCGTGGTTAGCATGGCGGCCGCAGCAGCCCAGTCAGCATCGGGCACCCCCATAGAAAGAAAAGAGTTGTTCAGTTTGTGCCATACAAGGTTATGCGAGGCCCGCCGCCAAGGTTTTAGCCAGGCAACTATGGCTATCAATCAGCCACCCCTGGCCAACCGTGACGGGATCATACCGTTCACCAAACCTCGGGCAAACGATCCGAAAACCTACCGTTATTCGACGTCAGGACTAGTTATCGCATCACCTCTCGGCGCCATTCGCCGAAACGGCTGGCATGGAAAACAAACGAGCAGAGCGAGAGCCAGGGCCGACAACTCCGAAAGTATCAAACTCCGCAGGCTCACCACGGTGCACCTGTAACGTAGTACATAAGCAGTGTACCAACGGGTGGCCCAAATAAGTTATCAAAGTAAGGCGACGCAGGCATCTAATCAACATTCCGGAAACATATCGAAGTGCTGGAAAATGATCATCGCCAGGTTTGGCATCTTGAATGAACCATACAATAAAGATATACAGCGGACTTGTCAGACATCTTGGCGCTTTGCGTCTCCCCATCAGCCCACTCAGAAACGATCGCCAGGGGAGTTGCCCGAATGAGGGAATTGTAGACGTACGCATTGGAACAGCCGCTGAAGCGTGCCAGCAACGAAGACAGCGGAGAGGATGAGGAGGCGGTTGTCGCGGATATGTTGTTGCGAGCGGTTATCGGAGGATTATTGGAGCCAGCTTGGGGCCATCTTAGAGTCCCCGTGGAGCCTCTTTGGGCAGTCTTGGGGCTCAGTTGGAGGGTCTCAGGGCCCTCTTGGGGCTCTTCAAGAACGTATGGGAGCCCTCTTGGGACGGTCTTGGGCCACATAGCCCACAAACGAGGCACACTTTAATTCAGCCCCCCCCCCACCCCCACCATTCGGAGGCCGAACATTGGCGTTTTGAGGCCCCGGTTGGGTGCTCTGCCATAAGCGGAACTGCCCGACGCCCGCTTGCCGTTGCAAGTGCGGTGGCGGAGTCGTTCGGTTCTTTGGCGTTGCCGCGTGACGGGTCGAGCCGAATGCGATGTGTGTCCGTTTGTTGCGTTGCCACGTGACGAGCATTGTGGAATCGCTTGTGTTCTGTTCCGCGCGTTGTCTTGCGGCGAGTAGAGTAGATTATTTTGCCTCCCTTTTGAAGTCGTTGCCGCGTGGCGGGTATAGCAGAATATCAGTGTTTCCGCCGCCTTGTGTTGCCGCGCGGCGATCGAGTGGGATAGCACGGTTTGTGCCCCATGCGTTGCCGCGCGACGAGCGGAGTGGAGTCGCATGTCGCCCGCTTCTTGCCATGCCGCGTGGCAAGTATGATCAAGTATCGGTTCCCCTCTCTTGTTGCTATTCGACGTTTCGTGCCACACGTCGCCGCTTACAAACAGCATGCAGTATCAACACAGAGCAATGCGACAACCCTCACCGAAGGGGAAGACGTGGGTTGGACGAGGAAGTGCTCTAAACCATGTCTGCCTGGAGGGCGGGGGGCTGGTGGCGTTATCTTCCACGGAACCTGGGGGCCTTGGTTTCCTTTGCGCACGTCAGAATTCCTTACCTTCCAGGCGGGACCCAATAGGTTCTACGTTGCAGTCGCAGAGTCGATAGTATGTTCCTCGCACGTGCAGGCTGCACATCACACGCTTTCGGAAAGGGTCTGCTCACGGAGGGACGGGCCACGATTCCAGACCACTCATCAGACCGATTTGCTATGACCGTTCCCCAGGCCGCTTATGGTGGCCCTTCCGTGCGCTCGGAGAGCAACGTGACAAGATATTATTTCGGACGGCGTGGGAACGCATCTGCAGAACACGCTCCCGCCAAACTCAAGCGATACATCGCCCCCCCCCCCCCCCCCGGGGTATCGCTCGGGGGAGTCACGAAGGAGTAGCCCGAGGGGAGCAGGGGAGAGGAGGGCCCAGACGAGGAAAAGGGGGAGAGAGGGGGTGATGAGAAGGAGGAGGGCTAAGCCGTGGAGGAGGTGTACAAGTACCGGCTGAGGCAGGAGGCGCAGGTGGATTCGGAAATAGAAATGCAGGGGGTGATGACGGTAAGGAGGAGGAGGAGGAGGAGGAGGAGGAGGATAAGCAGGAGGGCGAGCAGGGGCAGGACAAGGAGCAGGAGGATGCTTAGCATGAAGAGGGGCGTTGCGTTGTAAGTAGTTGGACCCTGCCGAGGACTCCTCAAACTCGGAGCCTGAAGCCGAGGAACTCCCATCCGAGCGACACGCTGCCGAACGACCAGCGGCAGAGGCTGGAGCCGCCGAAGAAGGGGGGGTGAAAGTCACCACCTCGTGAGATAGCAGTTCATGGGGCCCCGCCAGGTGCGCAGCCCAGTAGTGTTTCTCCCACGCGCCCGCCCCTGCCTTTGCGCGCGGCCGCCTCCCGACATGCATACTTCATGACTGCATATGATGCGCGTGATTTGCATTGCACTGCATTGTAGCGCACTGCGTTACACGGAATTGCATACCACCGCATTGCCATAGTCGCATCGTAGCACGTTGTCGTACATTGCCCATTTCCCCTCCAGCGCCGCAGCGCGCAGTGGGAAGGCATCCACAAGTGCATATGAAATTCTAGACGCTTCGCGTATCCCCACCAGCCCGTCCAGAAATGAGTCCCAGGGGAGTGGAGGTTATGAGGGAAGCGGGGGAGCATGCAGAAGAACAAAGGGCGGGGTGAGCCGCCATATACCCCAAGAGGGGGAGGATGTAGGAGGAGCCGTCGTCGTAGGAGTAGGAGGAGGAAGAGGAGGAGCAGGAGGAGGAGCAGGAGGAGGAGCAGGAGGAGGAGGAGGAGGAAGATAAGGAGGAGGATATGGAGAACTGCGAGGACGAGAAGGAGGAAAAGGAGAAGGAGGAGGAGGAGGAGGAGGAGGAGGAGGAGGAGGAGGAGGGGGAGGGGGAGGAGGGAGGAGGAAGAAAAAGAGAGGAGGAGGAGGACAATGGCGAGCTTGGGGGCCTCTTGGGCCGTCTTTGGGGCCTCTTGGCGGTCCCGGGGGCCTCTTGCGTATCTCGGGGAGCCTCTTGTGGCCTCTTGGGGGTCTCTTGGGGGCCTCTTGGAGGCCTCTTGGGGGCCTCTTGGGGCCTCTTGGGGCCCTCTTGGGGCGCTCTTGGGGCGCTCTTGGGAGCCTTCGAGGCGCTCTTGGGGCCATCTTGGAGGAGATCTATCAAAGAAGGGGGGGTCCCCAATTAGCGCTGCCCCTCTAAAGTGCCTCGAATCGCTTCTTGGGCCCCCCAAGAGGCCAAAATCTTTCCAAAACCTAAGGAAAATCAATGTTTTGTGTTTTCTCGCCTTTTCGCTCTTGGAGCCGTCTTGGGCCGTCTTGGGAGCCTCTTGGGCCTCTTGGGGGTCTCTTGGGAGCCTTGTGGAGGCCTCTTGGGCGCCTCTTGGGGCCTCTTGGAGCGCTCTTGGGGCGCTCTTGGGAGCCTTCGGGGCGCTCTTGGGGCCATCTTGGAGGAGATCGATCAAAGAAGAGGGGGTCCCCAATTAGCGTTGCCCCTCTAGAGTGCCTCGAGTCGCCTCTTGGGCCCCCCAAGAGGCCAAAATCGTTCCAAAACCTATGTAAAATCAATGTTTTTTGCTTTCTCGCCTTTTCGCTCTTGGAGCCGTCTTGGGCCATCTTGGGAGGCTCTTGGGGCCTCTTGGGGGTCTCTTGGCAGCCTCTTGGAGGCTTCTTGGGGGCCTCTTGGGGCCTCGTGGGGCCGTCTTGGGGCGCTCTTGGGGCGCTCTTGGGAGCCTTCGGGGCGCTCTTGGGGCCATCTTGGAGGAGATCTATCAAAAAAGGGGGGGTCGTATATTAGCGTTGCCCCTCTAGAGTGCCTCGAGTCGCCTCTTGGGCCCCCCCGAGAGGCCAAAATCCTTCCAAAACCTAGGTAAAATCAATGTTTTGTGTGTTTCTCGCCTTTTCGCTCTTGGAGATGTCTTGGGCCATCTTGGCCGTCCCAACGACCCGCGGAACGCCCCGTCCAGGTCAGTGGGGAGGGGTATGGGGAGGGGTAAACCCCTCCCCGAAGGGGAAGAAGGGGGTTGGCAGAGGAAACTCCCTAAACCACCTACGCCCTAAAGGGCTGGTGGGATTTCGTTCATGGCGGCGTGCACCAGTCGTGTTATCCCGAGTTGGGGGCCAGTCTGGATAGGCCGAGGTGCTGGGGGGTGGTTTTGCAGCTACGCCGCACCACAGGCAGGGGTCACGATCGGCGAACGTATGCATACCCACGCCCTCGGGGTCTGGATAGCCGGGCGCGATCCAGCAGATACGCGGTTGCACAGATACGTTCCGCGCGGGGCGTCCGCGAACAAGAAGTGCCCCGTATCCGCAGGGTCGCGGCCCATCTTCCCGGCCCTCGAGGCCGCGGATACGGATACGTGTTTCTCCCAACAGCGGGTGAAGACGGTAGCAGCAAAGAACAGTTCGAGCGAGACGACGCGGGCGGACAGGCAGCCAACGGCCACTGAGGGCATGCGGCTCGGCGGTTGGGACCTCGATCTTGGAGCCCGGTTCCCATGGGCTGGCACGGCCCTGGAGATACGGGCAGGAATTTTGTCTTAGTTCTGGCCCACCATGCGTTGGCGCGACATGGTCCACGTCTCCAAGAGTCAACGTCCCGAGCCTTTCCCAGCCTCCCACCGGGCGGAGCGACACGCAACCAGCTTGCAAGGCATAGCGTGTCGCTGGGGCCGCCGCCGCGACACGCTAAGAAAAAAAAGTCCGACCGTAAGTGGTGGGGGGGGGCCATATCAGGGTATATAGCAGTCGTCTGGGGAGTCAAAGGGACGCGGGCAGTCGTGGAAGAAGCCGTCGCAGTGGGGAACCGAGGGGTCAAGACGGGAAGGGCATGCGGCACGGTGTAGGGGGGCGCGTGCGCAGCTCATGGGTCGTCGAAGGCAAGCGCGATGAGGAGCAGCCGCGTCAAGCGCGCACGTCGGGATCGTGCCGTAAGGGGTCGTGTGGTTGACCTGGTTCCAGATGTCGAGGACCAGCACCTCAGCACGGCGGCTGGCGCTGTTGTGGTGGAAGTGGGGTCGACTAGGGGTATCTGCAGGATCGCGCGCCAGAATCCAGAAATCGAGGGGGCGGAGACGGACATGTTCGCCGCTCGTGAGGGAAGCACTTGCGCAGGGGGGGCGGGTGGGGGGGCTCGGCAAAGTGGTCCGCGGCCTGCTCAGCCTTTCCTCCTTCCTCGGGTGCCTCGCCGCGGCACGCTTTCGGCTTCGGTCGCGTCCAAGCAGCAGTTCGTCGCTCGTTGAGTGGCCTATCTTGCTCAGAGCACTGGAAAAGAGCGGAGGGGAGAGGGGAAGATGAGGAGGAGGAGGAGGAACGAAAGAGAGAGATGGGAAGAGGGGAGGGGTGAAAACAGATCTCCAACGTTATAAGGAGTCCCTGGGACTCCCCCCATCTCCCTGGAGCCATTCTTTCGCTTTGCCTAAGGAGTTCCCACGCGGTTAAGGGTTGGTGCCTCCTAGTGTTACTTCGCCCGTTGCCTGGTTCCTCGGGTTCCTCGGGTTCCCCGCCCCCGGTGCCTCCTATTGTTACGTTGCCCGTTGCCCAGAGGTTCCTCGAGTTCCCCGCTCCTGGTGCCTCCTATTGTTACGTTGCCTGGTGCCCAGAGGTTCCTCGGGTGGTTCTTCGCGGGTTCCCCGCCCCCAGTGCCTCATATTGTTTCTTTTCCCGTTTCCCGGAGGTTCCTCGGGTTCCACAGGTTCCTCGGGTTCCCCGCCCCCCGTGCCTCCTATGTTTACTTCGCCCGTTCCTCGGAGGTTCCCCGGGTTCCCCGCCGCCAACATACCAGATTCAACCATACCAAGCAATGCCAAACAATGCCAACCGATGTAAAGCAATGCCAAGCCATGCCAAGCAATGCCAAGCGATGCCAAGCGACGCCAAGCAATGCCAACCTATGCAAAGCAATGCCAAGCAGTGCCAAGTAATGCCATGCCATGCCAACCAATGCCAAGCCATGCCAAGCAATGCCAAGCAATGCCAGACCATGCAAAACAATGCCAAGCAGTGCCAAGCAATGCCAAGCAATGCCAAGCGATACGCCCAGCGATGCGCCCATGCAATAGGCTTTCCCCTAATGCGGGTCCCGCCAGGTTCATTTGTTGCTGGTGGTCCTGGGTCTTGGAAACGCCTCCCCTCCGGGGGGCGACATTACAAGAAAGACACCAGGATTGAACAAATATGTGCCATCTGAGGTCGTGGTTCCAAGGGGCCACATGGCGCGACACAGGGAGGTAAACATCCCAACCCCTCGAGCCTCGAGAAAGCTCAAACCTCCGACCTCCAGGCGACCATCGAAGGAGGGGGTGCAGTTCAAGACGCCGTCTAGTGTGTGCAACGCGATTCAGGCAAGGGCAGAAATGGTTAGCGCGCGCGGCACGCGCTCTACACACGCATGCACTCTGAATCAACATGCATGCAATAAGCTACACTGAAAGTGTTCGTCCTGAAGATCCCCATGCGTGCATCAGGTTTCTAGCGTGTTCTCTTCGAAGCGCCTGATTAGGCATGATTGTGCGTATGACCGGCTGACTGTGAACGGGTCTGGGTGCGATTGTGTTCGAGTATGAGTGGGCAGAGGGCTTGAAATTGATTGGATCGAAGTATGAGTTCTTCTGGACATTCGGGACAGGAGCCTGCAAAGTTGGCGCTTTTGGGATCAATGCAATCTTGGCGCGAACGGACCCCTGTCATACCTCCTGGCGGTTCCCCGGTGGGAGGCGCAAGTGGTATGCCTGCTGCATCGTTGTGATCATGAGCTCCGACAAGAGACTCGTCAATTGTGCCAGAAAAAGCGTTTTGCATGCGAGGTCCCCGCAATTTGGGCGCGAACGAGCCCGTGAAACACTCCTGCCTGGGGTGGTTCAGATGCTATGCCTGCTACATCGCGGTGACCATTGGGCTCTGAAGAGGCATGCGTCTACTGGGCCAGAAGGGCGTTTCTCTTGAGAGTTCATCGCGATCCGAGCGCCAAAGGGCCTATGATAGACGCCTGGTGGGCACCCCTTGATTGAAGCAAGCATATGCCTGCTACATCGTGGTGATCATTGGGCCGCTGGGAATGACCCCCCCCCGCGCAGAGCCCAAGTGTAAGTCCTGCTGCACCGCGGTGAGGGCAATGATAGGATATTCGTCTACTGGGAAAAGCAGCGTTTCGGTTGAGGGGTCTCCAAGATCTGAGTGCGAACGGACCCGTGAAAGACCCTCTGTCGACACCCAATGCGTGCTACATCGCGGTGGCCATGGG